CTCGGCGCGCAGGCAGCCCAGCTTCTTGATGTAGACCTTGCGGGTGGTGGCGGTGATGGGCCCCGGGCGGTAGCCGAGCGCCAGCAGCTCCTTGCGGAGCTCCGCGTCCGTCAGCTCCGCCATGGCCGCGCCAGGCCCCGCCGGAAGCGCCCCGCGGGCGGGAAGCGCCGCCGCCATCTTGGGAGGGGCCCGGCGCACCCCTGGCGCCGCCATGTTGGGAAGGGCGCGGGCCGTGTGGGGAAAGGGCGCGGGGGCGGGCGCCATGTTGAGAAGGTCAGGGGAGGTGAGGGCTCCCCGTCCCGCCGTGTCCTGAGGGGTCAGCGGGGAGCGGGGGCTGCTGCGCCCTCAGGACAGGGGAAAAGGGGGAGAAATGGAGAAAGCAAAAGCTGAAAGCTGCCTCAGCTTTCAGGTGTCGATGATGGGTTGTTCCCCATTGCTGGCTGGGGCTGCTCCTCGAGCAGCTCCTGCCTGACTCACCCCGATTTTCTCACACTTTTAGGGCCATTCTCCCAAAAACGTCCCTTTCCCAGCCACCTCCCACCCCCACACACGTTTCCCTCATCGCTGCCCTGTTGCTGAGCTCTGCCAAAACCTCAGGCAGGACCAGGAGCCAGATCCACGAAATATTTCCCAGGAAGGGGAGTCCATGCACACCCCACACCTAAAACAGCAAACCCAAGCACTGACTTGTAAATTTATTTTGGCACGGTCGTGATGAACAGTAATTGCTTTTTCCTGCCGCCACCACTAAAGAAAGTGATGAAAGCGGCTGAAATACGGCGGCGTAATGTTGGAATTTAATTAAAGGTAATGGAGCAGCGGTGCTGAAGGTGCTGAGGGCTGGCTGCGTGTCACGGGTTTGGTGATGGATGTGTGACACCAGGGTTGGGGACACGCCATGGTCCCTCAGAAATGGCACCTGTGGGGAGAGGGAGGCTCTGAGGGAGTCATTGAGGCTCAAAGAGCTGAGCTGTGCCTTCCCAAAATAAATCACAGGATGCCAGAGTCATTGAGGCTGGAAAAGTCTTTCTGGACCATTGAATCCAACCTGTGGCCAATCCCTGCTTTGTCCCCAGCCCAGAGCACTRAGTGCCACRTCCAGGTGTTCCTTGGACACCTCCAGGGATGGAGACTCCAAACCTCCCTCAGCAGCCCCTTCTAATGTTTAACAACACTTTCCATGAAGAAATTCCTCCTGATGTCCAACCTGGCCCTCCCCTAGCACAAGTTGAGGACACATTGTCTTGTCACTAATACTTTCCAGAACTCTTTCTTATCGGGTCCCCAAAGCTCACCTCACGCTTCCCAATTCATCCAAGGAAGCAGCAACAAGATGCTGCGATTTTTTCGTCTGGTTGGCAGCAGCAAATACCTCCTCAGGAGAGGCCAGGGAGCCCATTAAAGAGCAAACTCAGCTGYGCTGGGAAGTGTGAACGTGCTAAGCTGAGCCTCCCCTGTGCTCTGCTGGCAGCTCATGGTGTGGAGAGGGCTCTAATGTAAATAAAAAATTCCAGTTTGCTGCTATCACTCGGGTTCTGTGAGCTCACAGCTCTCACTTTGCAGAAGCTCTGCCTGGACACGCAGACGAATGCTGGTGTCTGAGCCAGAGCTGGTGCAAACCTGGGAATTATATGAACTCACCTTGTTCTGGAGAAARCAGAAAAAAAAAWAWAAAAAAWGCCCAAATCCTTTCAACTTGTGGTTCTGTCAGTCAGGGAAATTACCCCAGGCCCAGCAGCCTCATTGCACAATCTTCAGAGGGGAAAACATGGGTGTGGTGTTGGACAGCTGGAGGATGGGGGAAAAGCTGTGATTCCTCCKCAGAAGGAGGTTGGCAGCACCAAAGCTCAGCAGGATCAGGTTCCTCTTTTTTGTGGAGAGAAATTCATGACCCCTCTCCCTTTGTCCCTACCAAGACAACCCGTGGGAGCATCACCTGGACCCYGCAGGGAAGGCAGAGGGAGCAGACGTGTCAGACCCTGGATCCCCACTGGCAATCTTTGTTCCCATCCCCTGCCCACGGTGCCAGTTATGAATTTGACRGTGGATTTTCTATTTTCGCAGCCCCTTCGTCATCCTCGTGGCTCTGAGAGCACCAAGTGGTGYCGGGCAGGCAGGGCCTGCCGAGACTGCAGATGGGCTCAGCAAAAAGCATTTCTTGGCTGAAAACAGCCAGAGCTGGCTGGGGGAAGCACGGAGGGACAGCCTCCACCTTCCCTGCGAGCCCAGAAGCTGCCTCCGAGCTGCTGGCAGCGGCTCAGATGCCAGAGGAGCAGACGCTGCGCCGGCTGGCAGCCTGGAGCCGGGACTGGTGCGAGCAGAGCCCTGGCGATGGATCTGTGCCTGAGCARGGGATGGCTGCACCCCAAACCCCACAGCTGAACCCTTCCACCGCTGACGGATGRGCTGCTGAAACCCTGCGTCTCCTCCCACCTCCTTAGCCGTGGCGTTTGGGTGACAGCCCCGCACATGTCACCGGGGGAAGTGTCGGGGCTTTCTTGGGAGCCGCCTGTGCTGATCTGTCACTCTGTCACTCACAGCCACAGCACAGGTGTGACCCAAGAGCCCTCAGCCACCCCTGTGTCCTGGGCCTGCTGAGCTCCTCAGTACTTATGGAAGTCAGAGATAATTCCATTCCYTTCCYTCCTCTTTTCCCCCMTCAYTGGGCTCATCCCACCACGGAACTCTGGTTTGGTTTCTGGCGCAGCAGATTCTTCCTGCCTGCCTGCAGGTGGGACCTGGGTGCTGCTGGCTGCCAAAACAGATCTGTCCTAAAACCTGAAGACCACTCCCTTCTTATCCAGATCAGAGCCCTGACAGCCTGGAGCGGGTGGTGGTTAGGGACCCTCCATCTCTTTCCAGTGAAATCATTCCTACTTCTCCTGCTCAGGCCCCTGRGGGTGGAAGGGAYTTCCTCCCAAAAGCTGAAGGTGTAYTTTGGTGCCCATTTGCACAACACATTTGCTGCAGGACAGGACAGGGGTTYCTGTGGTCTCTGTCCCATCCTGAGCCCATTTATGGCTGGGACAACTGGGAAGAGCCATTGGCAGAATCCATGGCCTTGTCTGGTCCAAGGTGGGTGCAGAGGGAGATCTCCCAGATCTCCCTGCAGAGTCCCACGTGTGGATCTCCCTCTGGAATTTTCCACAGCATCAGCCTCACTATCAGCCCTGTGGGAAATGGTCCAGCAAGCAAATCCAACAGGCTCATGTTCACTTTCTCTGCTGGCATCACTGGAAAACTTTCCTTCCTGGATGGCACAGGGGAGGTGTCAGCCTGGAAAACGATGCGAATGAAGGAGCTGGGAAAACAYGGTGGAGGGACAGCTCTGCCCCACAGTGGAGCTTATGGAGGGGTTTGGGAAGCAGTTTGTCCCTCAAGGGGGAATTCTTGTTTTCCTGTGACAAAATCAAACCTGGGGTGAAGGTTTGGGTATCTCTGAAGTACCAAGGCATGAGGGGCCCTCTGAAGCAAACAAGTSTCTGTCCTTGCTGCACACTGGTGTAAATGTGCCACAGCTCTCCGGGTGATTGCCATGCCAGCTCTCCCATGGATATCACCCCTCTGCAGACCGAGTCCTGCTCTCACTTCCAGCCTAATGGAATGTGTTATTTCCCATCTCCCTCCCACTCAGAGTCATTACAGTGATTCCACAGCTCACACTGCATCAGCAATACCGGRAGCTTCCCGGAGCTGATCAGTCCCTGGACAAGGAGTGTGCCTTTGGATCAAACATTAGAGCTGTAATCCACTCCACGCTGCCTGTTCCATTATCCATTGGGAGCTCTCTCCTCTCCCGAGGCTGGTTACAGCAGAGTGCTCTGAGGGGTGTTGTTCCAGCACAAACAGAGCTCTTGGAATGAGCTCAGYGAGAACAGAACTCGTGTTAGGTTGGGAGGATAAAATTGGATTGGAATTGGATATATCCACGTACATACCATTGATCTCATCCATGCGTACTTTACATATGTTGGATTTCCTGCTGCCAGCAGAGAGGAGTAGCTCTCAGATAAGCCAAAGGTATGGAAATGGAAGCAGGATCTTCAAGTGGAATTAGGAKTTCACCTCGGGGTGTGTTTGAGAGGCAGGAGAAAGGGCAGAACACGGTACTGTTCCCTCACTCAGTGCCTGGCACAGCTGTTACTCACCCTGGTGGATTTATAGCACCAGAGGGGTTGGGCACAGGGAGGAGCTGCCCATCAGGRCTCCTGTTTTCTCCAGCAGCGTGGGAATGTGCCAGAGTGCCCTCCCGGAGCAGGGAACTGGGTTAGGGACAGCCAGGTCCCCCCTCAACACTGCTTTCCTTGTGTCACCAGTTTGGCCAGGAAGTCTGGAGAAGGTTTGCCTCAGTTTCCCTCTTTTCCAAAAGGGAGGGTTAAATTTGCCTCAGTTTCCCTCATTGCAAATAGGGCAGGTTAAAACTTCCTAGTCCTCAGAGATTAATTACTTGGGCTTCACCACATGCTTTCACAGAGTCCCAGAATCCTTGAGGTTGGATCCAAGCTGTGCCCAATTCCCACCTTGTCCCCAGCCCAGAGCACTGAGTGCCATGTTCAGTCATTCCTTGGCCACCTCCAGGGATGGGAACTCCAAACCTCCCAGTTCCAAGTCCTTACCACCCTTCCCATGAGGAAATTCCCGCTGATGTCCACCCTGAGCCTCCTCTAGCCCAGCCTGAGGCCGTTCCCTCTCCTCCTGTCTCTGTTCCTGGGATCAGATCCCAAATCCCCCCCAGCTGCCCCCTCCTGTCAGGGAGTTGTGCAGAGCCACAAGATCCCCCCTGATCCCCCTTTGCTCCAGGCTGAGCCCCTTYCCAGCTCCCTCAGCTCCTCACAGGACTGACTCTCCAGAGCAATGCTCAGGAAAACAGGGATGTTCTCCAGACCCTGGAGCTCTTCCTCTCCTTTTCCACACTGGTCATCCCCCATCTGTTTGAGAGATTCACAGGACAGAAAACACAAATCCTCTGTTTAATTACACTGCACATTTATTATCTCATCTCAGATTTTGTTAATCTCTCTCACAGATTTCGTTTACATAAGTGGAGTATTTCAGCTTGAGCAGCTCCAGCGCTTTCTCTTCTGATCCTGCAGATATCAGTCAGCTAAATAGAAAAAAGAGAAAAGCACAAGGGCCCTTAAATCTGGCATTCAGTCTTTCCATGTGTTTTTCCTTCCTCCTCAGCTCCCCAACTGAAAGCTCAAAGGCAAAGTGGGATCAGCACAGGCAGAACAGAACAATCCCATGGGGAGAGCCGGGCCCCACTCCTGGGCTTAAATATCCCAAAAAAGACAAAGGTGCAGTGACAGCCCCATCTCATCATCCCTCAACTTGCAGGCAGGAAGAGATGCACAACAGCCTGCCCCTGGATATTTGCTGCTGCAATTCCCACACCCAGTTTCCCAAAGGAAAAGGAGGATTTGGAGCAAATTGGAGTGTAATTAAGTGTCAGTGTTAAGCCCCCGTACAGGCAGAGAGGTGTTCTGAGCTGGCTGCACGTGCTGAGCTGCCTYGCAGGTACAGCTGCTGTTATAAGCTCTGCTGGAAATTGTTCCCTGGAGACTGAGGACTTTTTGGGAGGAGGAGGAAGAGGAGGAGGAGGAGCAGGGAAGTGACAAAAAAAACACTGCTAGGAAGGGTTGTGCTGCTGCTGCCACTCAATATGAGCTCCAGGGCACAGGCAGCACCTTACGAGGGAATAACCTTCCCACAAGGGTGCACAAGGGAGTGGTTGGGATCTGAGGGCTCCACAAAGTGAGCAGACATGACACAAAAAGCCTTCTGGGGAATATAAATATCTCCGTGCTGATGAGCTGGTGAGAAGAAGGCAAGGCAGAATTCCCAAGGCAGAGATCAACCCACTGACAGTACCGTCTGGGGTGTCCTGTAACAGCTCCGCCAGCAGTTTCTCCAGGACATCTTGGTATTTTTCCAGCTGCCTTAGGGTGTGCCAAGCTCTGACAGGAAGGGCCTGCTGTGGAGGAAGCCAGAGAAGTCAGAAGAAAAAGCTGAGGGGAGCACGGGGAGGGAGTTTGGGGTGATTTGACCCCACTTTGATCGAGTTATTGGAAGGYTTAGGGCAGATTTGGAGGGAAGAGGATGATCCTCGTATGGGGAAAAGCAAYATTTTGAAGGCAACACACTCTTGTGTTGTTCAGAGTGCTATTACATAACCCGCGGGCTGGCTCCAAAATCCAGATAAAGGCACCTCCTGGCAGCAGGGACTGCAAAGAAAATAATTTCTGAASCTTCTAATCCTCTGCTGTGTCACACATCAACCAGCCCGAGCCTGCAGAGCTCCTGCTCCAACAACAGCCAAGGACGAGCCGTGGTCCTGCTCCTTCCAGCTGGACTCTGAGCCAGCAGTGGCTCTGAAGTGCCCGAAGCAAAGAGCTCTGTTGTGGTGCTGGTCAGCTGTGGGGATGTGCTGGTTATTTCATGCTTTGAACTGGGAATTTTTGCTGTTTAAATCCTGTTACCGAGGGTTGGTGCGCCACAGCTGTGGCAGCAGTCGCACATTAAGCTGTGTCCTGGCCAAATTCCAGCCTGGCTGGTCCTGCTGGGGCTGTCCCTTTCTTGTGGGGACCTGCACCCTCCTTTTGCTGGCAGAGAACAGCCAAGCTCCCTGTAGGAATGGCTGCACTGACAGGGAGGAATTTCCCTATGCTCAAGTGGAAAAGCACAATTTTCAGACTTGACTCACCAGGTAACTCTGCCTTTGAGGGCTTAGCCTGGCACTTCAATCCCTAAAATTGCCCATTTTCTGCTCTGTAAACAGACTTTGGACYCAAGTTTTTAAATAAGGCCTCTCCAGTGCAGAGAACTGTGGGGTCAGAGGTGAAACAGAGCAGGAGCTGAAGCAGAACTGGGAGTTCCTGGCTGGGCTTCACTGCCTGGCAAAGACAGACCTCGAGCTGTTCCCTCGAGCTGTTCTTCCTCAGGGAGAAGCAGTTGGGTCTCAGAGGTGATTTGGCTGCTGAATGACCAGGATAATTTATGGGGTRGAGGTAAAACTTCTCTCTGATGTAACCAGGCAGGCTGGCAGAGGACATCTCTKGGACTCCTTGTTCCCCTGCATGTTGTTGTGGGCTTTACAGTCAAATATCCCAACATACCTGGAAGGTCTTGGCTGCRTTGACATCCACACCAGATTGCTTGGAGAAAACTTCCTCCTCYAGCTGCTGCAGAGAACTCAGGGATTTCTTCTGCCCTGCCTTGTTCCTCTCCTTTTCCTGCATTTTCAGAGCAGAGTACAAAGGGGGCAGTTGGTGATGCTGGGATCAGCATCCTGTGGGTCCCAAATGTGCTCTGCACTGTCCCAAAAACCAGGAACCCACAGTGCAGGGCACAGAACCAGCAGGATGTGAGATTCTCTCCACCTCTTGGAGCCAATGTGGCATCTTCCTGGGAAGGGCCCATCAGCCATGGCCAGAGCTGCCTTGGGGACTGAAATTCAGCAGCACTGGGGGCAAGGTTGGGTTTACAGGGTGGGGTGTGAAGGTGACAGTAAACAGGACCCACGTGTGGGGGGATCTGTGTGAGAGAACCCTGTCAGCAGGACATGGGAGCTGACARCACTGTGACCTTACCCAGTTGTCCYGRGGAACTTGTCCTGGTTTTTCTGGAGCACTGCAAGAAAGCTAAACTGAGCCCTGCATATGGAAAATCCTGAGCAGAGGTCACGTTTTCCCAGCCTTTCTGCTGTAGGGTCAGCCTGTTCCCATTTATGGGGCTAAACTTGCCTTCAGCACCCTCCCTTTCTTCCCAGCCCAATGGGAAAAGCCAGAGGTGCTTAGGAATATGATGGACGCGTCATGCTCCGTGTCCCAGTCCTGCTCAGGAGGAGCAGGGACAACTTTTGGAGGACAGATTTCTCCCTTTTTCATCCAAAASCCCCTAATCCCTGGCAGACACAAAGCTACAAAGGCGATGGTGTTCAATAATCAATCTGGAGATCATGCCAGTTCCCCTTCATCCTCCCCAAGGACACTGAGGGATGCCCGTGCTCCCACAAAAAGCTGTTGCCATCCAGGGATAGGGGCTGGAAATGGGATTTCTCCCGGTATCCACGGGCTCAGCAGTGCGGGAGAAGCTTGCTGGGGCTGTGTTTCAGAAGCTGCAGTCTCTGAGCTTTCCTGACACCTTTCAACGGTATTTGTTTCACATCAAAAGGGAAAACGTTCTCTCTGCACGTCCCGGAGGTGACAACCAGCYTGGGGATGGTTAATTATTTGTTACAACAAAAGAGCCATCACTGCACTGATGGGAGGCAGCAGCTGCTCTGGAAGAATTCCAGCATCGAGGAAAGGGGCTGCAGGAGACACCCCCACAAGTCTGTCAGACCTTTGGCAGAGGGGTCCAGGCTCTTCCCTTCTAGTCTTACACTTCAAAAATTGTCTCTGCTCCCCCCAAATCCCTGAATTTTGGGAGAAGGATATCATGCTGTCTCCTGTTGAACAGAAGAAGGCGTGCTCCAGCAGTTTGGGGGGAAAACCTTTCCTGGTTTGTCCATCCAGAGGGGTTACCTGCATTTTCAGGAAGTCACTCTGGGTGAAGAAGGGCATGAAGCCGTGGGTCTGCTCAGCCAGCATGGACAGCAGGTGCACCAGCAGCAAAGTAGCCACCACCTTCCTCGAAACCATCCTGAGAGCCTGGACAACACGGGAAAGGAGACACCAGGGGCAGGAGTGGAGAGAGATGTTTGACAAGAAACGCCTTTGGCTCTGCCCCAGCTGCAATCCAGCTCACCCCCAGCTAACCTGAGGGATRTTTACTCTCCCAGTTGCTCCTGAGCTGAGAATAGAAGCGTCTTGACTGACAATTCTTTTCTCAAACCTGTTTGTGTAAACAGATTTGCTCTTGAGCAACATCTCAAGAGATTTCAAGCCCAGCCCTTCAGGACTGYTCAAGCCTCCCTGAGTTCTCGTGCCTCAGCCCCTCCAGCTGTGTTGGTTTAAGACCTGCACACGTCCAGAGYAAATCCATCAATCCCAGTGCCAGCACGGGAGACAGAGATGCTGTAAGAGAGGAAAACCTTCAGACAGCTGTTTTGTACATTTTTGTTTTGATTTTCTTCACCACTGGAAACCTTCCTGGATGGTCTGGATCTTTAAAGAAGCCTCACTGAGTCCCAGGGAAATGGGAAAGGCGTTTTCCAGCCTGGCTCTGTCTGAGGCTGGAATAAAGGGCTTTAAAAGCCACCTTCTGAGGTGATCTAACTGTGACTTCACATCAGGAAAGGACTTATGTAAACATTGAATGTTCTCTTTAAATATTAAAATATTCTCTCTGGACAGATTTAATGAAGTCTGGTCCTACAGCTTAACTTCTCCACCTGATTGGAGCCTGATCCTTAATTAGTTTCAACAACCTCTTGGTTTGGACATTATTGAGAAGACATTGTTAGGTCAGATTTGACTCCTGAATTAGATTTCCCATAAATATCAGCTGGTATTGAACCGAGGGCYGGTGGAAGTTAATAAATATTCCCTTTCCACAGCACCTGTCAGTCACATCCTTTCCTCTCCCTTCCCTGGGTACTGCACCAGTGCCACATCCCCCTGCCCACCCAAACTGGGCCACCAGAGCCACCTCCTGCCCTGGGACATCCCCAGCCCTGTTTCCTGCAGGGATCCAGGCAGAATTTCTCAGGCCCTCCCATGTTCCCTCAGCAGCATCAATCTTTTGTGCCTTTTCATTTGTTGTGTCACTGCAGYAAATAAATAAATAAATGAAAAAATACTGCTGAATGCAAAGAAAATAAACTCAGTCACCTCCTTCATCTCTTCCTGGCTATCCCTTTGGGAATTGATTCATTCCATTTTCCCCCAGAAAAACACCCACACCACACAATTCTCCACTCAAAAATACCCTTGCTGGATGACCCTCCCTTTCTTGGAGATCTCCARCTCAGCTCCTCTCCAGGCAGAGAGTACCTGGTGGATTTATTTCCCTACTCCAAAGGGAAAATAAAAAAAGCAGAATGATCCTGAATTCAGCACTGCTGGCACACGGGGTTGGGACAGTGGTGCCAGCTTTGCTCACCCCCCAAAACAGAGTCAATGCCAGTGTGGGGGCAGGAGGGGGAGACAACTGGCACAGTGACAGGACAGGACATTCACCTACCGAGTTGTCTCCCAAAAAATCCAACCATTCCTGTCCTCAGGACCTGTCTAAGAATCATTTCCTCCCTGCTCAGAGCAGCTCCCAAGCACAGAGAGCACTCAGGTTCCCCACAGTTCTGCATCAGTGCCCAGTGTCTGCCAGGTGCCATGGGGATGCAGGAGCTGCTGGGATCGATCCTCTGAGATGGGGATGAGCAGAAAACACCTTCCCCCTTCTTCCAGCATCACTTTTCTTCCCTCCTCCTCCTCCTCCTCCTCAGAGCTAGCTCTGCCGTGGTCAAGAGGTGCCAGGACCTACCTGGGGAGTGCAGCCAGGGGATGCTGGAGGCCAGAGCTCTTCTCCCTCCTGTCACACCTGGCTGCTCCTGCCGTTCCCCTCCCTTTATATCCACGTACAGACACCTCAGTCACTCACCTGTGACCCTGTCCAGCTGCCTGGCCTGCATGGAAACGGCTTTCCCAGGCAGGGAATGCTCTTATCTGCTTTGGAGTTTTCTCATTTCTCGTTTCCAGGCAGGTCCRCTTTGCTCCCTCCCCAGGCTCTTCAGCTGTTCCCAGTGGTCTCACAGCTGGGGCAGATCTGCTGCTGCCTCAGTTTCCCYATCTCTAAGATGGAGAAATTCCTCTCTCCCARCTTGTGTTTTCAGATCCTGAGCCTGCAGGACAATGTTTTTAYGATGTGAATGTACCAGCACTAAAATGACACCTGTGTCAATTATGTTGTTACTGTAATTGGCAAATCACAATAAYATCAAAATTTGCCACTTTGAGTGTTCCTGTGGCACCTCTTCCCATCCTCACTGAGCCTGGCACATTGATCCCCCAGGGAACGCAAACCCTGCACTGTCATCCCTCTCCAGACAAACGAGGTGCTGAGAGAGGGAGGGAATTGTGCAAGAACTCATCCGTGCTCTCCCGGGACCATCAGCCAGGAGCTGATGCCAGAGAGTTTGGGATCAGGCCAGGCACATCCCCATGCTGCTCCTGAGGGAGGCTGGGAGCAGCCAGACGAGGGACAGGAGGGAAAAACTGAATTGGGAAAGCCATGAAACATCGAATGGGATCCGTGGGCTGTGAGAGCAGGGAGGGCAGCATTCCTGCCTGCCTGGGGAGGGATATCAGGAACAGCCACTGCCCAGCCCGGGAAAGCCATTTGTCACCTGGCCCCATCACAGCCAGTCAATAGGACAYGGGCACAGGAGGTGTCACCACGGCCCTGCTGCTGTCACAGCCATCAATAACGCTCGATTGGAGCCAGAGCCCTCTCGAAAAGCTCGTGTCCAACACTCAGGTGCTTCCCAGATCCCTGGGCATTCGCTCCAGCTTATCAGCCCCTGTGCCATGGAAAGTGTCCAAAGACTCCAGCACAGCTTTGCTCCTTGGAAACCTGGGCATCATGATCCTTTCCATCCTGGGGGGTGATGGAAAAAATGTTACCCATACAATGTGGGGTCTTCTCCTCCCTTCCCTAAACAATTTGCACAAACCCCATCCAAATCTGACACCAGTTCCCATTTTAATTGACTTTTCCAGTCCGTTTTTGCACAGTTATGATGGATGCAGCTGATGAGTCAAGCAGATGGTGCTGGGAAGTGACAAATTAGTTACCAAGAAAGGTCACTTTTCCAAAGCACTAAACTTTCCCACGTCTTGTCCCTCTGTCCCTCCAAGACGCGTCCGGCTGGCAGTTTTCCATCCATCTGGGATGGAGCCTTCTGCCTCGGGAAGGACAACCTTCCAAATCAAACAGAGGGATGAAAATTAATCATATCTGTATTAGCTGCATGCAGCCTGCCAGCTTCACCTCTTAATTATGCAAGAGTGCTCAGACTGGAAGGAATCGTGGAGCTGAAAATAAAGRATCTGACTCCGAGTCTGGAAGCGCCAGGGCAGGTGGGAGCAACAGGCCCAGTCCATAAACTCAGCTTTTGGCACATCCTGGCTGCAAAACAAGGATAAATGAAAACAAAAAGTCCCAGCTGGAGGTCTCCCTGCCAGCACTGTAATTCCAAAATTCCATCCTGCTGCATCCTTGGCACAGTCTGCAACCTGCAGCCCCCGAAACTCCCCTTTGAGCTCCCGTGCCAAATGGCAGCAGAGGTTAGAGGCTCAGAAAAACATGATGTGCAGGATAGGCTTGGGTGCAGTTCTGCTTGTTCCTAAAGTTAAACATTTGGCATAATTGGGAGTCGTTTTCCCAGGAAACTGGCAGTGGAAGTGCAGTCCATTAAGCCTGGGATCAGTTGCGGTGTCAAGGAACCAGAGGGAGAATGAGCTGCCCGTGCCAGCAGCATGGAGCATTTGTCTCTGGGTCTGTGCTTCCCCCTCCAAGCTGCTCCAGGCTCGGGGTGTGCAGCAAAAAGATGCAGAAGGGTGGSAGATTGGAGCCTGAGGTGGAATTTGAGCCTGGGGAAAGCACATGGGGGAGTGGGATGGACTGAAATCCCACCCAGGCAGGCACTGTGGGGTCTCCAGCAAAGCCTCCAGTTCAGGTCTGAATATCAGAGCTCCAAGAGCCACCAAGACCTCATCCCCTCTTCCCCCACATCCAACAACTGCTTTGATGGAGCTGGGAATGGGGGACAGGACTTTGTGGAGAGCCTTTGCTCCCACAGCCCTGCCACATCCACCATAAGGCCTGGAAAAAACCCATCCCTTAGCTCCAGCTCCTTTCCTGGAGCCCACAGCAATCCATTCTCACCCCAATCCCATGGAATTATCTTTGCTTGCAATCAGATGGGTCCAAAACCTGGCACAGGGCTGAWGGGCTGCAGTCACACAGCGAGGTCAGCGTGGGATGGAGCTCATTTTGGGCTCATTTTGAGCTGAAATCTCCTTCTCCCAGCCCAGGCACATCCTCCAGCTGCTGTTCCTGCATGGATTTCACAGGCTCAAAATGCTCCTGATGAATAAAGCACCAGCGGCAGATCTTCATGTTTTTTTCCAAATATTAATGCCAGATAAACATTTGCAGAATCACAGGCAGAATTTAAGCACGTGTTCATTTGCAGCAGGAGTATTTTAAGGGCCTGGATTTCCCCCATCCCACTTAGATTCCTCCCCAGGTCTCCGGTGTAATTCCAGGTAATTCCTGGCAATTCCTGGCTGGGCAAGGATCRATAGGAAGGATTTCCCTCCTGCTGACTCCCCAAACCATATTTTTGGACAGCAAAGGATGGGCTCAGCTTTATGAGGAATTTCTCTCACTGAGTTTCCCCCTCTCCCACTTTGATTCCCACTCCRGAGGCTCCAGGGGCTGYRGGCACAGGGCAAGGCAGGTGTGGGRAAGGAGGGGAAGRTTTGCAGCAGCAGCAGGATTGGGATTTACAGCCCAAAATTCACACCAAAGCCYCTCTGGAAAYCTCAGCCCTGAGGTGAYCTGGGCACCCCAAARCTGGGGAAATTCTGCCTGCTGSCTYAKTTTCTCCATGMAAGAACCAAAGAGAGRAAAAACAGTTTTCTGGRCAGAACCYGGGTAGATTTCACTTCTCTGCAAGGGCTGGAGGGGACAGGCACTG